AGAAAATCATGCCAGGCGCATGTGTGTGCATGCCCCACATCCTGAGGAGACCGGAGGAGAAGGGATTGAATTGTGGCCATCTCCTCGGGGGGGTGATTTCTCACTTTCTCCCTCTCTCTGACAAGTGCACATGCCCTATAGCAAAACTAGAAATAATAAATAAAATCAACATTAGCTATTATTATTAGCACTCAGTAAATACTAGCTTCTCATTATTATTGATACAGGAGGAATAAAGCTACAATCTCTCTACCTCACCACACACAAACTTTCCAGCTAAATGTAGAAAAAAAGAAGAAAGTAGAGCAGGTCTATCTAATCTCAGATAGAGAGCAGGTTTTTCTAGTTATAAAAACAATGGAGAAAAAAATCTCAAAACAAAATGTGATACTTGTATAATAACCAAAATTAGGACACCTGTATCCTAATAAAATTAAAAGCAAGTAAACTAGAGAAACGAATATTTACCATAAATAACAAAGAATTAATATCCTTAGTATATAAAAAATATAGATGAACAGGTAAGACACAAACCCACAAGGGAAAAAAGTAGAGATTAGGAACACCATGTTCACAGAATAAATTTTTTTTTTGCTATAGGGCACGTGTGTTCACCAGAAACACAGAGAGAGACAGAGAGACAGAAAGCGAGAAATCACCCCCCCCGGGGGGGGGAATGGCCATGCCACAATCCCTTCTCCTCCATTCTCCTCTCGGCATCTTGGGCACGCACGCACACGCACCCAGCGTGAGTTTAAGCCACTGGGTCCGGGACTCGAACCGCGGTCGACTACATGGGAGTTCAGCAACATAGCCATTATACTAACTGCTGGTCTCACACAGAATAAAATTTTAAAACCATCAGAAATACTTAAAAGTTAAAGCTCTCTAATTAGGCATTTTCTAAAAGTTTTTTTTGTAATTTTGCCAGATGGTTCATGTGCTTTCCAGAGAGAGAGAGAGACAGAGAGAGGAGAGGGAGAGAGAGGGAAAAAAAAAAAAAGGGACAGAGAAAGAGAGAGAGGAGAGGGAGAAAGCACCCTCCAATGGGGCATAATCATGGTCCAGTCCTTTCTCCTCCACTTCTCCATCCTGTCAGGACTTTGGGCTCACTTGCACACGCCCCTAGCATGTTTCTCAAGCCCCCAGATCTGGGATTCCAGACACGTGGTTGGCCAGGTGGGGATCCAGCCCCTTAACCACCAGGCCACACGGCTAGCCCAACAAGAGTAGTTTTTGCTTATTGATTGTACAAAGTTGAATTAGTACAATAATAACCTTAGGGCAGACTTCTCATATGTTGCTCTGAAGGGTTACATGGAATGTTTTTTCTAGAAATCAATTTGTCAGTACACCTACGGACCTTAAAAATGAGCATATCCTTTAACCAAATACCACTTCTAGGAATCTCACTTTAGGAAGGAACCAAAGAAATGAAAAATGTTTAGGACATTAGGACAGCTGTGCAAATATCCATGATCAATAATAGGAGAACGGTTCAAAACAATCATGGAGCATCTATGCAATGGGATTTGAAGCAGCCATTCAACACCTTGTTCTGAAGAATTTAATACAGAAAATGCCCATGATGAAGTGAAAGGGGAAAAAAAGTAAGACAAAAATGATAATTCAAAAGATAGTTTTTATAAAAAAGATATTACACAAGAGGACAGAATTCTGACTACTTTTCCCTATTTCAAAGTTGTTTCCAGGGGACCTGAGAGAGTCACACTTACAAACATTAACAGAAGCCTATGATCATAATAGACATTTTTGTCCATTGACAGTGGGATGCTCCATCCTGCCCTAGGCAAAGTATGTGTGTGCGCACACGTGTGTTTTAATTATTTAATTTTAGTTATCATTATTATTATTTTTCAATTTGCTACAGGGAATGTACACTCTCCAGAGAGACAGAGGGAGAGGGAGAAAGAAGTCACCAGGTCTGGAACTCAAACCATGGTCGGTCATGTGTAAGTCCAGCAGCCCAACCACCAAGCCACCTGCTGGCCCCGGACATAGAGTTTTTTATGATGTATAAGTCTTCTTATCTCTTAAAGTAAAGCACATTATTTTGCTAATTTCTTTCAGGAACAGAGGCTTGTCTTTTTCTTTAACCAATTACTAATCTAAGAATTTCAAACTCACCTATAACCTACAAGCCTTCTTTTCCAGATGGCCCATTTTTGGGGCCAGGCCAAAGTAACAGACTCCTGATGCTGATCAACAGTTCTGCTGTCAGAACTATATAAAACCAACCACCGTATCTCAACACCCTGAGAAACACGGTCGTCTTTTTTCCGGGTCAGGTCACTCAAGTTTGTGTTTAGCAATAAACCACATTATTATTTCTGCAGAATTAGTTATTTCCATTCACACACGCACACACACACACACACACACACACATACACACACACTACCTATATAGTGTGTGTATATATATACAGAGGATTAGAGGTGTATGTGTGTTTATTAGAAAAAAGGTTGGATGTGGGACCAGCAGTTAGCGTAATGGCTATGTCGCTGGACTCCCACGTAGTCGACCATGGTTCACGTCCTGGACCTGGTGGCTTAAACTCACGCCGGACGCGTGTGTGTGTGTGCCCAAGATCCTGAGAGGAGAATGGAGGAGAAGGGATTGCGGAGTGGCCATCCCCCCTGGGGGTGATTTCCTGCTTTCTGTCTCTCTGTCTCTCTCTGTCTGTCTGGCGAGCGCACGCGCCCTATAGCAAAAACCTCTCAAAAAAAAAAAAAAAAAGAAAAAAGGTTGGATGGAAACATGCCAAAATGTTAAAATAGTATTCTCTTAGTAAAATGATTATGTGATTTTGATTTCTTTCTTATCTAAATTTTTAGAAATTTAAATACTAAGCACATACTACATTTAAAATACACCAAGACCAGTAGATGGCATAATAGTTATGTTGCTGGACTTCCACATGGTCCACCACGGTTCAAGTCCCAGACCTGACAGCTTAAAACTCACATTGGGTGCATGTGTATGTGTGCTCAAAATCCTGAGAAGAGAATGGAGGAGAAGGGATTATGGTGTAGCCATTCCCCCAGGGGTGATTTCTCACTTCCTGTCTCTTTGTCTCTGGCAAGCGCACAGGTCCTAGAGTAAAAATCTCTCTAAAATTTTTTTTTAAATAAAATAAAACAAGGGACCAACAGTTGGCATAATGGCTATGTCTCTGGACTCCCATGTAGTTGACCACAGTTTGAGTCCTGGACCCGGTGGCTTAAACTCATGCCAGGCGCTTGTGCATACATGCCCAAGATCCCAAGAAGAGAATGGAGGAGAAGGGATTGTGGCATGGCCATCCCCCTGAGGGGTGATTTCTCGCTTTCTGTCTCTCTGTCACTCTCTATTTTTCTGGTGAGTGGAATGCACCCTATAGCAAAAACCTCTCTAAAACAAATAAAAGATTAAAAATAAAAATAAAATAAAATAATAGAAATACACCATCCCCACCTCCAAACAAGTGGTTATTTTCACACTGGAGGCCAAGTGAGGAACTGAAGTAGATACAAGTCAAAGTGGAAAATGAGTGGGGTTTGGAGGCAGATGGAGCTGGTTTTTACCCTTGGCTCTGCCTTTTTCTAGCTATGAACACATTGCCATACTTTATGGTATATTAGCTCCAATACTATGGGCATGAGACCAGCTGCTGTGGCACAGTGGTCACTCAGCACTCTGCAATGTTGAGGCCATATGGGAAGGTGCTGGGTTCGTGACCCAAGGTCTTCCTGTCTACACCAAGCATGCACATGTGTCCATGATCCCAGATGGCTGAGGCTGGTTGATCACAGTGCAAAGATCCTGTTGTGGGTGCCTCTTATACTCCCTCTGGTAGAAAGAAATAAATAGGCTTTCAAAAAAATGGATATGATAATTATACCTCTCTTGTGGGTTTTCTTCTTTTTTCTTTCCTTTTTAAAAATTTGCTATAGGGCACATGTACTGGTTAGAGAGAGACAGAGAGAAAGGAAGAGGGAAAGGGAGAAAGCACCCGCCAGAGGGTATAGCCATGCCATAATCTCTTCTCCTCCATTCTCCTCTCAGGATTTGGGGCACACACACATGCACACACACACACACACGCACGCACACATGCACACACGCACACACACACACACAGTGTGTTTCTCAAGCTGCCAGGTCTGGGACCTGAATTTCTCAGTCAGCCATGTGAGATTTGGATGCTTTAACCATCACGCCACCAGCCGGCCCTCTCTTATGGGGGTTGGTGAGACCTCTCTTATGGGGGTTGGTGAGACCTATAGTTGATTATGGACCATCAAATCAACTTTCTGGCACTAAATATTTTATCAATAGTTTATATTATTGTTAACACCTTCTCATAGTTTGATTTGTCCTCTGTTGATTGTTAACTTTGCCAAGAAGTTTAGTTTCCTATTCCACATGGGAGTTTATGGAAAAACTAACCTTTTTCCATGAAAAAAAGCCTGAGTTCATTTTGCTGCAAAAATGTTTTAAAATCTATACAGAGGTGGTTTTTTTTTTCATCATTTTCCATTCTTTAATAGTTATTTTATACATTTTCCATGAACTTCTTGAATACCCACCCCATGAATGACAAGTTCCTTGAACACAGGGACTAGTTTTATTTTCCTTGGAACAGTGCTTTGCTCACAGCTGACTTTTCTTTCCCATCTGACCTTTCTTTCTCTGACTTCTCTTCTCTTCTCTTCTACCTTCCTACCATTTTCACATCCAATCTTTCCAGTCACCTGAGAAGGCTGATTGACTAAGACCATGTACCACACAGTGAATTTCCCATGAGTGACTAGGAGAAGAATTTGTGTGTGTGTGTGTGTGTGTGTGTGTACATATTGACACATTACAGACATATTATAGCAGGCAGGGTGACAGGGTGGATGTCCAGGCCACCGTAGGCTCTGCATCTCGCCTTGTCCACCCTATCACCTGCCTCATACAAGCAGCTAATAGAAAGATAGCAAAGGGCCCCTTACATTTGAAGTCTGGCTATTTGTAGTCTCTTCACAGCAATACCGAGGACTGTCTTCCAATTCGGAATTTCCAGTTTTGAGAAAGGCTGTGGAAAGATCCAACCTTAAAAAAGAAGACATGCAAAAAAAAAAAAAAAGACATGCATATTGAACACAAAAGGGATATTTCAAAACTGACCCTAAGTCAGTACTTACTAGATAAGTCCTGCCCAGCTATCAGTCTAGCAAAGCCTACTTGGAAAAGGAACCAAAATCCATTTGTATTAAAGTACACATAATTATCAGTTTAAGAATTACCTCTCTTCAAGGGGATTTGCACTGAAATAGGATCAAAGCTTTAGTCCAAAGTAATTAAATCCCTGTGATGGCATCTTAAGCATTTGAGGCCTTCCAAGAATCTCTGAATACCATGTGGGTTTAAACATTCTATTCTTCAGCATCCTCCAGCCTATAGACAGATCCCCATTTTCTAGAAATAACTTTCTTTTTTCTTTTTTTAGATTTTTTGCCATAGGGTACACAAGACACACACACACACACACACACACAGAGAGAGAGAGAGAGAGAGAGAGAGAGAGAGAGAGAGAGAAATCACCCCCAAAGGGAATGGTCACACCATGGTCCCCTCTAATCTTTTCTTGGGATTTTTAGGCACGCGTACACACTCCCAAAGTGTTTTTCTTTTCTTTCCTCCTTTTTTTTTTTAGAGAAATATTTTTTCTTAATTTATCATTACTTTAAATTTTTTTTTTTTTAATTTGCTACAGAGCTTGTGTGCTCACTAAAGAGAGAGAGAGAGACAGAGATAGAGAAGGTGAGAAAGAAAATTGCCAGGTTTGGGACTCCAACCACGTTGGCCATTGTGGGAGTCCAGTGTCCCAACCAGCATGCCACCTGCTCACCCCTCCCAGTGTGTTTTTCAAGCTGCGAAGTCCAGGATTCAAACTGAGGAGTTGGCCATGTGGGATCTAGTTTAGCCTTATCCACTATACTATCTGCTGGCCCCAGAGAAGACATTTTATCAGCAGTCGATAGACTCAAATTTTTTTTTTTTCCTGACTGTTACGCTAGCCAACTTGGATATTCAACATCTCTGGGCCCATTTTCTCTTCTGTAAAATGAGAGACTTGAACGAGAGCCTCTCAAAGATGATGCCTTCTCTCAGCTCTCACAGTCTTCTAGTAACAATTCCACGGTTGTAGTAAACATATGAGAAGAAACACAGGAAACTTTTAGGAATCTCGGAGAAGAGGAAAGCCTGTTATTTTAAAATGTTGTCTTTACAACTCTAGTACATTCAATAAATGAGTAAATTACATGTAGAAAAACACGAAGAAATATAGATAGAGAGAAGAAGATGGACTCCTCCTCACAAACACTATAAACCTTTTAGTGCATTTCCTTTCCAGAATTTTCCCCCTATGCATAGGGAATTAGAATAGGTGGGGCCAGCTTGGTAGTTGGGGCGCTGGACTCCCACATGGCCCACCATGGTTTGAGTCCTGGACCTGGCCACTTGCTTTCTCAATTTCCCTCTCTTGCTCTCTCTCTCTCACTCTGTCCCTCTCTGGTCAAATTAAAATAAGTAAATAAATAAAGTTAAATAAAATAATTCTAAAAAAAAAAAAAAATGAGTGTACAAAATGGAGACAGACTCTAGCTCTTTTGCCTTTGCCATGAGCTTTCCACTGTAGCCACGCCACCAGGTAGAACTTCTTGGGATCAGGATATTGTGGGTCCTTTCCATTTTTTCTCTTTACCTCCATTTCTCATCTTAGCTCTAGATGATAAACAGGCTTTATCTTCTCTTCTGAAACTACGGAACAGCTTGACTTCCCTCCTTTTGGAGTACCATCCCTCTCCATCCCCCGCATCCCATGTAACACAAGTTGAGAAACAGCTACACTTCGCAGCCACCCATGAACCAGTGGACCAGGCCTGCCCATCTTCAAGGCAGCCATGATTGGACCATTAGTGTGCATTTGACTCAGGGAGAGTTAACCCAAGTCATTACCTGGGATTGACATTTGCCATGAAGAAAAGAACTATTGGGACCAACAGTTAGCGTAAAGGCTATGTCGCTGGGCTCCCATGTAGTCAACCGCGGTTCAAGTCCCGTCCCGGCGGCTTAAACTTACGCTGGGCATGTGTGCGTGCGTGCCCCAGATCCCAAGAGGAGGATGGAGGGGAAGGGACTGCGGTGTGGTCATCCCCCCTGGGGGATGATTTCTCGCTTTCTATCTCTCTGTCTCTCTCTATCTTTCTGGTGAGCGCACGCGCCCTATAGCGAAAACCTCTCCAAAAAAAGAAAGAAAGAAAGAAAAGAATTATTTTAATTCTAAACAGGGAGCACATGAATCTAGGGGCAGCAGGGACCACGATTTTCAGAAGGTGGAGAGAGGCTGACTGCAAATGCAGTAATAGAGAGACAGTCAAAGAAGAGTCCCTGCAATGCTGAGTGCCACTTCCTGCCCTGGATTGTGTTCTGGTACTTCTTCCTTTAATCTTGTAAGCCACCTACTAGGACATGAACAAATAGTGATTTTTCTGCTTAAGCTAGTGTGAGTTGAGTTCCTGTCACTTATTACCAAGAGTCCTGCCTAATACTCATGATCACATTCATGCCCATCTCTGATGGATCATGAGTACCATCAGACTGAGAGATGCACGAGTTCCATTGTGGTTTCCTTGGCATTGGCTAACGTCCCAGTCATATCCTGTCTCCCAATCCTGGATTAACTCCTGCCCTTCAATGGCCAAGGCCTTGCTTCTTGCTCACAGACTGCCTAGTGGGCTGACCTGCTTGGCACTTGATTGCCTGCTGAGAGACTGTCACTGGACCGCCTGTTAGAACTCCTGAATATTTTCATGCCGGATCCTCTGGATACTTTATGATTTACTTCACTCCTACTTGCTGTTTTACCATATGTACCAGGCTTTTTCTTAGCGTTTGTATCTAGTTCTATTTCCTCAGTATCTTGCCCGACCCAGTGAAATAGTATCAGTCCTAAATTCTGTTCCTCATTACATCGAATTCAGGATTGGGGAGATGTGAAAGGAATGTCAATACTAAAATACATTCTCTAAAAGCAAGAACCTTTCAACACTTTTTTCCTTAAAAAAAAAAAAAGAATTCCTTATTTTATTATTATTATTACTTTATTTGACCAGAGAGAGACAGAAAGAGAGAGGGGGAAAGTGAGAAAGCAAGCCACCAGGTCCAGGACTCAAACCACAGTTGGCCATATGGGAGTCTAGCACCTTATCTACCAGGCCACCTGTTGGACTTCTTTCAACAGTTCTTAAGATTGTTAGAGCTGTGATGGAAAGGGCATGAAAAGCAAGCCCAGGAGCCCTGCAGCCGTCAGCCCTACCCCTACTCATTCCTTGAGCCACACAGCAGTCAGCTCTGACATCTGCGTTCTGAGGTTGGCAGGTCCCTTTGGCCTTTGGCCCATAGCTAATCCCCTTTCTAACCTCATTCAGGGATAGACTGTATTTTTTCTAGATTTATGCAATCAAAATCTTCTCAGAGGTGTCTCTTTTATCACATTTAATTCAAGAACACATTTCTGCCTTTTAATATAGACGTTTGGGTTCTCAGTCCAGGATAGTTTGTTGTAATGGAAGGGGCCCTGGCTCCTCTTCCAGGAACATGAATATCATTGTCCTCAAAGATGATCACCCCTTCCAAGTCCCATGAAGCAGCAATGCCCAGGGTGTAGGGTGCAGAAATCAAGAAGGGCTGGGTCAGAGGAGATGTCTTTGAAAAGTTTGACTTGGAGTCTGCAAACTTGAGGAAGTCTGATTAAGGTTGCAATAAGTGAATGACTAGGAGAAATGTTGCAAATTCAGGGAATTGAAGGGACGGCCACACTGGTTCTCAGAGCTGACCCTGACTAGGTGGTAAAGGGATTTTTTTAAAGAATTATTTTAATTTATTTCATTGTTATTAGTATTATTTAATTTGACCAGAGAGAAACAGAGAAAGAGAAAGGGAAAGTGAGAAAGCAAGCTGCCAGGTCTGGGACTCTAACTGCAGTCAGCCGTGTGGGAGTCCAGTGCCTTAACCGCCATGCTGCTTACCAGCCCTGGGTAAAGGGATCTTACCATTTTCTAAACAGATCTTGGAGGTCAGAGAGAAGTGGATGACAACAGGTGAATCACTCTCCTGGGACATCTGAGAATACTGGTTTTGGCTGACAAGAGCTAGTGGGAAAAAAAAAAGGAACATGAGGGGAAAGGGGAACAGAAGGAAAAGAGCATTTTGTTAGACAATTGTCCACAGAAAATCAAGTTGTCAGAATTACATATTCATTCCAGGGGATTAGTGAAGGCTTTCATAAACACCAACAATAACTTACGAGATATTTTTGTCATTTGCTCTGGAAATGAATCAGCCTTTAAACCGAAAACTCTTCTGCTTAATTTCTTGATTTATTAAAAAGACAATTTCAGGGGCCAGCAGGTGGTGTGGTGGTTAAGGTGCTGGGCTCCCACATGGCTGCCTGCCATTTGACCTGGTAGTTTGTCTTCTCACTTTCTCTCTCTCTCTCTAGTGAGTGGATGCACACTATAGCAAATTAAAAATCATAATAAATAGAGGCTGGCAGGTAACATGGTGGTTAAAGGCAATGGACTTCCACGTGGCCGACTGCAGTTTGAGTTCCAGACCTGGCGACTTGCTTTCTCATTTTCCCTCTCTCTCTCTCTCTCTCTCTTTCTTGCTCTGTCCTTCTCTGGTCAAATTTAAAAATAAATAAAATTAAATAAAGTAATTCTTTAAATTCTAAGAGCTTTCCTTCTATAATAATGACTACTGAAAAAGGATTTGTGTTTTCTTTTCATTCCTTCTTTTAGCACCCAGATAACAATCAAAAGTCTGTTTTGGGGAGAAAAATAAAAACAACAAAACAAAACAAAGAACTACCAGGACACAGGTGCCTCTGTTTCATTTTTAAGTTACATACTAAAACATGTATCTAAAACAAGAAATTTTATTAATTTATGAATGGAATAAATTAATTCTGAAGTCAAAAAATCTTTTTTTTTTTTTAGAGAGATTTTTGCTATAGGGCACATGCACTCACCAGAGAGAGAGAGAGACAGAGATAGAGACAGACAGAAAGTGAGAACCTCCCTGCCGGGGAGGATGGCCAGATTTTGGGCATTCATGCACAAGTGCCTGGTGTGAGTTTTAAGTCACCGGGTCCAGGACTTGAACCATAGTCGACCATGTGGAAGTCCAGTGACATAACCATTATGCCATCTGCTGGCCCTGCAAAAAAAACCCAAACAAACAAACAAACAAACAAACAAAAAACTGTTTTAAAAGCAAACTGAAATAAAAACATTTGGGACAGATGATATTGGAATGGGAAAACATGATGCTTTCCACTGACCCACATGGGTCGGCTCTGTGTTCACGTCTGGAGACCTCCCTCAGTACACGAAGACGTGCGCCCAGGATCTGGGACTGGCCAATGTTGGGGGTGATCATGGCATAAAGACTTTAATGGAGATCCTCTCTCTCTCTGTCTCTCTTGCTGATGGAAGAAAGGCATAAACAGACTTAAAAAAAAAGGGGGACATTTTGAAAAGAAGGCAAAATTTATGGGGGGATAAAACTTTATATAAAAATTAGTAAGTGCATAAATTAAGGCTCCCATAACAATTAGGCTACATCTAAAAACAAATATATAAGAAAAAAACAATATAAGAAAATTATGATGGGGGCAGCAGATGGCATAATGTTTACGTCACTGGACTCCCATGTAGTCGACCACAGTTCGAATCCCAGACCTGGCAGCTTAAAACTCATGCCAGGCATGTATGTGTGAGTACCCAAAATCCCAAGAGGAGAATGGAGGAGAAATAACCTGGGGGAGTGATTTTTCACTTTCCATCTCTCTTTCTCTCTGTCTCTCTGGTGAGCACATGCACCGTATAGCAAAAACTTCTTAAAAAATAAATAAAACAAAATTATAATGATTAAATAAATAAGGCTATACAGGCAACAATTTTTACAATAACCATGACTTATATTTATCAAATACTATTGTAGGCACTATGCTCAGCACTTCATATGCATTATATAATTTTTTAATTATATTTTTGATTTATTATGATTATTGTTATTTAACTTGCTATAGTCATTAGAACAGAGGTGGTGAAAAAGCAAGCCACTAGGTCTGGGTCTCGAACAGTGGTCTGCCATGTGGGAGTCCAGTGCCGCTTTCTGGCCCCTGCATTATATCATTTAATCATCATTAAATTAATTATCATGGCAGCACATACATGTAGTCCCAGTGACTTGGGAGACTGAGGGCTAGAATTGGGAAGTTAGTGAAACTCCCCTTAAAAACAAAAATATCGGGAACAGCCAGCGGCCCTATTGGGGGGAGCTTTCTTACTTTCTCTCTCTCTTCCCCTCTGATGAGCACACATGCCTTTTGGGGAAAAAAAAATTTTTAATTATGTTTACGTCTGGCATTATACTTTTTTTTTTTAAGAGATTTTTGCTATAGGGCGTGTGTACTTGCCAGAGAGACAAAGAGACAGAAAGCAAGAAATTATCTCTCCTAGAGGGAATGGCCATGCCACAATCCCTTCTCCTCCATTCTCCTCTTGGGATTCGGGCACACATGCACATGTGCCTGGCGTGAGTTTGCACACACATACACCTGGGGACATGGTGTGAGGTGTTTTTTTTGTTTGTTTGTTTGTTTTTTTTAAATATATTCTTTTTTAAAGGAATTTTTTAGAAATTTAACTTTACTTATTTATTCATTTGTTTCAATTTCACCAGAGAGGGAGAGAGGGGGGAGCAGGGAGTGAGAAAGCAAGCCATCAGGTCTGGGACTCAAACAGCAGTCAGCCATGTGGGAGCTCAGTGCCCTTAACTACCATTCCACCTGCTGACCTGGTGCGAGTTTTAAGCCACAGTGGTCAACTATGTGAGAGTCCAGCAATGTAGTCATTTCGCCATCTGCTGGTCCCGCATTATGCTTCTGTTGGAGCAGGCTGTTATAAGAGAATCTCAAAGGTACCCTGAGACGGAAACTTCATATCACAAGGAAATCTAGTAAAAGCCTAACGTATACTTTATTTAAGTAAAAATACTATACAGTGTTGTATGTTTCTCTCAACATTTACTAATTATTTATTAAAATTTACTAATTACTTTTTAATATTTACTAATTACTTATTTAATAGCACTAATATAATCCTTCATCAATATTCCACTTATTTGCTGTTTTTAATTTATTTGTCCTGGAGCGTAATTGATATTTCTAACAAGTAATCTTTTTTCCTTCTTTTTTTTTTTTAGAGATTTTTTGCTATAGATCAAGTGTGCTCGCCAGGGACAGAAAGAGAGACAGAAAGCGAGAAATCACTCCCAAGGGGGATGGCTATCCTGCAACCCCCTCTCCATTTTCCTCTCAGGATCTTGGGCATGCACACATGCCCAGAATGAGTTTCAAGCCACCAGGTCTGGGACTAAAACCATGGTCGGCCATGTGGGCATCCAGTGAGCCAACCACTATGCCATCTGCTGGTCCTCTAACAAGGAATTTCGACTTACATAATTTTTCCATGGATCTGCGTGATGGAACATGGTGATCTTTTTTTGGTTTAACCAGATGATTTTCTGCATGGTACTCTCTTCTTAGATGGTTGCTGATTTTGCGCTCCTTTAAGTTAGCAAGGGCCATGGAATTGGATTTTCTTTTCAAGGCTTTGCCTTCCTCCAACAATGGGTCTTTGGATACGTAATTGTAAGCACCTTCGGTAAGATCTTGCCAGCTGTAATTCAGGAAATTTACAAGCCCCACAGGGAAAGGAATGTTACATTGAGCATATTTCTGAAGTGTCTCCTCAAGTTCATATAGTATTTCAGGAGCAATGAGTTTGCATTTTTCAAATAAGTTTATCCTTGAATGTACTTTGGAGAATTTAATGTTTGGAGAAAGTTTGAACACATCAGGAGATTTTGAGATGCTGAGCGAGCGGGCCCCCTCTTTTTCTGATGTAGCTGTTGTAGTTAGTGTTATTTTCTTTAGTCCTTTTGATTTTCTTTTCTTTCTATGACTGTAAAAAAAAGTTAACCTTACAGATATTTTATACTCTTTAATCTAATAACTCAACTTCTAGAAATCCACCTTAAAACATAATAAAACAAGACATGTAACATCTATGCACAAAATTTGCTTAATGTAACATAATTTTTCTTTTTTTTTTTATTTTGGAGAGGTTTTGTTACAGGGCGCGTGTTCTTGCCAGAGAGACAGAGAGACAGGGAGACAGAAAGCGAAAAAACTCCCTCCGGGGGGATGGCCATGCTTCAATCCCTTCTCCTCCTTTCTCCTCTTGGGATCTTGGGCACTCATGCACATGCGCCCAGAGTGAGTTTAAGCCCCTGGGTCCCAGACTCGAACCGCGGTTGGCTACATGGGAGTCCAGTGACATAGCCATTACGCTAACTGCTAGTCCCATGTAACATAATTTTTTTTTTTTTTGGAGAGATTTTCACTATAGAGTGCACGCACACGCCAGACAGACAGAGAGAGACATAGAGAAAGAAAGCGAGAAATCACCCCCCGGGGGGATGGCCACGCTGCAATCCCTTTTCCTACATTCTCCTCTCGGGATCTTGGGCACGCACGCACATGCGCCTGGCGTGAGTTTTAAGCCACCGGGTCCGGGGCGCAAACCGCGGTCGACTACGTGGGAGTCCAGCGACATAGCCATTACGCTAACTGCTGGTTCCCCCATGCAACATAATTTTTGATATTAGAAAAAATACATAAAATAAAAAACTGAAAAAAATCCTAATTCTTTATAGTGGTATATCCAAGTAAATAATATCATATTTGTACAACAGATAATCATGAAAGCTTGCATGGAAAATTTCTCTTAAAAATTTAGGAAAAGGGGCTGGCAGGTGGTGTGGTTGTTAAGGGCACTAGACTCCCACATAGCCAATTACGGTTCTAGTCTCAGGCCTGGTGACTTGCTTTCTCTCTCTCCCTTTCTCTCTCTCTCTCATTCTGTCCCTTTCTAGTCAAATGAAATAAAATAATAAATAAATAAAAGGTTAAATAAAAATAATTCTAAAAAAAAAAAAAAATTGGGGAAGAAGGCCAGAAGATGATGCAGTTGTTAAGGTGCTAGACTCCCAGATGGCCGACCACAGTTCTAGTCCTTGTCCTGTACACTTCAAAATCATGCTAGGCATGTGTGTATGCATGCCCAAAATCCTGAGGAGACTAGAGAAGGTATTTCCGCATGGCTATCCCCCCTGTGGGGTAAGTTCTCACTTTCTCTCTGTCTCTGTTTCTGTCTCTCTCTCTGGCGAGTGCACATGCCCTAAGCAAAAGCTTCTTAAAAAAGAAGAAGGAGAAGAAGGAGAAGAAGGCGGAGAAGGAGGAGAAGGAGAAGGAGAAGAAGAAGAAGAAGAAGAAGAAGAAGAAGAAGAAGAAGAAGAAGAAGAAGAAGAAGAAGAAGAAGAAGAAGAAGAAGATTTTAAATTAGCTCCATTAACATAGAAAAAACTTTGCCAATTCTAGTGGAGACATTCAAGAGGCTTAGAGGCTGGTCAGTGCTTTTGATAGCTTTGTGAGGGCTACAGGGTATGTTGACATTTGGAGTACTTCCCAGGGGAGTCTACTGGTTGGGACCCAAAAGTCTGTATCCTAGGAGTAAATACTATCTAGAAATAGACCTAGACCAGCACTTCGAAATACAGCTTCAAATTATCTCACTTTCTGAATTGAGTTAAGATGGACCCAAAGTGTTATTATCTCCAAGCATCTGGCAGAAACAAATATGAATCTACTTCAGGAGAAGTTGGCTTCATCCTATGCCTTATATTATTTTTAAAGGCAATTTTTCAAATACAATGTCTCATACAAAAATTTTTTATAAATTATGTTCACATAGTAAAGAGATCATGAGTGAGAACCAGCAGAAATAGCAATTAATAAAAATAGAGCCATAGGTAAATATGAACCTTAAAGTCTGCTTTCTAGAGCTAGCAGGTGGCATGGTGGTTAAGGTGCTGGACTCTCACAAGGCCAACCATGGTTCAAGTCCCAGTCCTGGTGGGTTACTTTCTCACTTTCTCTCTCTGTCTCTCTCTGGTCAAATTAAAAAATAAATAATAAGAAGAAATAAAATAAAGTAAGTAAATGAATCTTTTAAAAAAAAACTCTGTTTTCCAATAAAATAAGAATAGGTTGAAAATTTTTGCAAAGAACTGGAAACTACATACACATGTACATGTGCACTTATGTACACATGCACAAACACACATCACAGCATATTTGAAAAAGAACTAAATAGGGGCCGACATTGCTAACTGCCCCCTGTGGGTCAAAATGGCCCCTGGTTTGGAACTGTGCAATACGAGGGACAAAGTTTTGTTAGGAAGGAAGCAGTACTTGGGATCAGCAGATGGCGTAATGGTTATGTTGCTGGACCCCCACGTAGTTGACTGCGGTTCAAGTCCTGGATCCAGCAATTTAAAACTCACGCTTAGAGCGTGTGTGTGTGCGTGCCAAAAATCCCAAAAGGAGAATGGAAGATAAGGAATTGTGGCATGGCCATCCCCCCTGGGGGTGATTTCTTGCTTTCTGTGTCTCTGTCTCTCTCTGTCTCTCAGAGGAGAGCAAATACTCTATAGCAAAATTCTCTCCAAAAAAAAAAAAGAGAAAGAAAGAAAGAAAGAAAGCAGTGCTTGTGATACTGATGATGGCAGAGGTATGTATGCAATGCCACTCTGAGTGTGGGCCTTAGGGCCAGCAGGTGGCATAATGGTTAAGGTGCTGGACTTCCACATGGCTGACTGCAATTTGAGTCAGATCTGGCAGCCTGAAACTCACACTGGGTGTGTGTGTATGTGTGTGTGTGTGTGTCTGTCTGTGTGTCTGTGTGTATGCAGGCCCAAAATCCTGAGAGTAAAATGAAGTAGAACAAATTACAGCATGGCCATCCCCCTAGGGGGGGGTGATTTCTTACTTTCTCTCTGTCTTTCTCTGTGTCTCCAGTAAACACACACAGACACAAACATCTCTTAAAATAAAAGAAGAGAAAAGAAAAGAAAAGAAAGAAAAGAAAAAGAACCAAATAGAAATTAGAAAGCTGAAAATACAATAACTAAAATTAATTACCCAGTGGATGAGTTGAACCCATATTAGATACAGCTGAAGAGAAAATCAGCGAAATGGAAGATAAATCAGAAGAAAATCTCTAAATGAAGAATGAAAAGACAAAATTGACTAAAAGTGAGGCTATAAAATATCTATTTATAGCCAACAAAACTCACTATTAATATAAAAGTATAAAAGGAGTATTACAGCTTTTTTAGAATTTGTCTAGCAGGTTTTCTGGTTTGTTTTTGTTTTTGTTTTTGTTTTCCCAGAAAACTCCACCAAGAACAATAAATAAATAAAAGGATAAAAGTAAGATTACTTTGGTAAATTAAATATATATCTTTTGATCTATTCTGTAAATATGGGGTCACCTGAAAAGTCATGATGTATTTTTCAATGCAAAAATGCATCATGAGGGAACAGCAGTTAGCATAATGGCTATGTCACTGGACTCCCATGTAGTTGACCACAGCTGGGCTGGACCCAGTGGCTTAAACTCACGCTGGGCACGTGTGCGTGTTTTTTTTGTGTGTGTGAGTGTGTCTGTGTGTGTGTCTGTGTGTGTGCAGGCCCAAAATCCTGAGAGAAAAATGAAGTAGAAGGGATTGCAGCATGGCCATCCCTGGGGGGTGATTTCTTGCTTTCTATCTATCTGTCTCTCTCTGTCTTTCTGGTGAGTGCATGTGCCCTATAGAAAAAAAAAAAAAACTCTCAAAAAATTATTTTAAAAAAATGGAAAGTAATCCAAAGATTGAAGAGTAATTGCAAACATTTTACCTATACTTGGCTCTTGAATAGTACTCCAGGTGGGAAAACAGGTTCGTACACATCCTCCTTCTCCATGTTTTCCTTTCGGGTTTCAGCTAAAATAAAAAAAATCTTCCTGATTATAAAGTAGGTAATACTGGTCAAAAGTGAATTTTTTTTTAAAAGTAAATTATAATATGATGAGACAGAGTAGCATTATTACCTGATCAAAGAAATAGATGGGCCCAGGTTCCAAAGGTGTAGCTTTAGTCATGTCCATTCTACTAGGAGACCTAATGAGAAACTGGAAGTCTGAAGACAAGTTATCATGTCTGTAGGTAATATTTCAAAAGCATTTGATGGTTTTAAAGTCTGGAAGTTATTTTCATTTTTGTTGTTAGCAGTTTTTTTTTGTCAAAGAGTTTGTGCACTTACTGGAGCGAGAGGGAGAGGAGAAAGCACCCCTAAGGATTATGGTCATGCCATAATCCTTCCCCATTTCTCCACCCTGTTGGGACTTTTGGGCATACACACACACACACTCAGCATGTTTTCTAAGCCACTAGGGCTTGAATTGCATGGTAGGTCATGTGGGAGCCAGCATCCTTAACCACTAGACCACAAAGCTAGCCTGGCTTTTTTTTTTTTTTTTTTTAAAGAAATTTTTGCTATAGGGCAGGGCACATGTGCTTGGCAGAGAGACAGAGAGACAGAAAGCAAGAACTCATCCTACGGGGGGATGGCCACACCACCGTCCCTTCTCCTCCATTCTCCTCTCAGGATTTTGCACACATACACACCTGGCACGAGTTTCAAGCTACCAGGTCTGGAACTCGACCACGGTCAACCATGTGGGAATCCAGCAATGTAACTATTACACCATCTGGTGGTCCCAAGCTGGCCTGGTTTTTAAATGTGGAGTTTCATTTTCAATGAAGTGTGAAAAACTGGAGGGGTAGGGATGGGGAGGGGATGCAATTTCTTTTCCTCTGTCTCCATCTTCATTTCGTAGGCTGTTGATGGACCTAGATACAGGCAGAAGGAGTGAATGCTGCTGGCAAATGGAAACAAGAGCACGTCAATGCAGACTGTCTCAGCCTGGGCACTGCTGAAGTTCGGGGCCAGATAATTCGTGAAGCCTCCCTGTGCATGGCAGGGTGTTTAGCCACAGCCTGGGCTGTACCTGCCAGATGTCAGTCTCATACTTTCTCACCTAGTCAGGACAGCAGAAAGCATCTCCCGACATTGCTAACCATCCCCTGAGGGGCCAAATGGCCCCTGGTTTGGAACTATGCAATAGGAGGGACAAAGTTTTGTTAGGAAGGAAGCAGTGCTTGGGATCAGCAGATGGCGTAATGGTTATGTTGCTGGACCCCCATGTAGTTGACTGCGGTTCAAGTCCTGGATCCAGCAACTTAAAACTCACGCTTAGAGCATGTGTGTGCATGCCCAAAATCCCAAAAGGAGAATGGAAGATAAGGGATTGTGGCGTGGCCATCCCCCCCGGGAGTGATTTCTTGCTTTCTGTCTCTCTGTCTCTTTCTGTCTTTCAGGGGAGTGCAAATACTCTATAGCAAAATTCTCTCCGAAGAAAAAGAAAAAGAAAGAAAGAAAGCAGTGCTTGTGATACTGATGATGGCAGAGGTATGTATGCAATGCCACTCTGAGTGTGGTCCTTAGGGCCAGCAGTTAGCATAATGGCTATGTC